AACAAAATCGGCAGCCTACAAGGAAATGCCTACAAGATGTTTTACAGATGGCACCTTCCCCGCTTGAGATTAGCAAAAATGTGCCCCAACATGAGTCTGAAATGCTGGAAATGTAAAAAAAAAAAAAAAAAAGGGTACTTTCTTCCATATGTGGTGGTCTTGCACAGAGACTCAAAAATATTGGCAGAAAATTAGAAAATGGTTGGAGAAAATTATAACAGAACAGATCGAATTTAAACCAGAATTCTTTTTATTAGGGATTTTTAATAAACAACTCTCAAAAAAAGTGAAATACACAACAATACATATTTTGACAGCGGCCAGACTGGCCTTTGCACAATGTTGGAAGCAACCTCATATTCCATCAGAGGAAATGATTATTCAAAAAATAGCAAACTGTGCAGAGATGGACAGATTAACTTTGGCATTAAAAGGAAAAGATACATCAATGTATTACGACAGCTGGAACTGCTGGTACGAATGGATGGAACAAAGATTGAGTAAACAATAAAGGGCAAAAGAAAATAGGTTATAATTGTAGTAGTGACTAGATATATACATATATTCGCACAAGGAGTAATTGTATAGAGGGTATAAAATAAGGTTGAAAATAAGGTCCCACAAACTGTCGAGGACGTAATGGTTTTTAATTATTTTCTGAATTTTCTTTTCCACCTTTCCTTCTTTATTTCTTTTTTCTCTTTCACATTTATGTAAGTGTTGTATGTCTGTTTTAATTGTAAAATTAATAAAGTTTATTTTTTTAAAAACCCTCCTCTCTTCTAGAACCTCAGTTTTTCTGACTGATGGCTGGTCAATCTTTGCTTTAGGACAATCAGCGAAGGGGAGAGTGAACTCTCACTGGCTCAGCTCTAAAACTGTTCCTCTTCTTAGGATGTCTTTCCTCTTGTTCAGTCAGAATCTCTTCTTCTATAACTGAATTCATTTTTTCATGTTAGATTTTCAGATACAGGAAGATGTACCAAGTGTCTGGATGATAAATATCCAAATGAGGACCGAGACGAATATATCCCCAAAATCATAACCTTCCTGTCTTATGAAGAACATGTGGGCATCATCCTGCTCTCTTTTGCCTTTCTCTTGTGCTTAACCACAGATCTTGTTTTAATGATATTTCTGAAATATCTAGAAACCCCCATTGGCAAAGCCAACAACCAGGATCTTTCCTACATCCTCCTGGTGTTCCTCCTGTTTTGCTTCTTGTCTCCTTTTCTTTTTATTGGCCAACCAAGGAAAGCCACCTACCTTCTCCAACAAACAGTTTTCAACATCATATTCTCAGTTTTCATTTCTTCTCTTTTCTCCAAAACAGTCATGGTGGTGCTTGCTTTCCTGGCAACAAAACCAGGAAAACGAGTGAAGAGATGGTTGGGAAAGAGCTTAGCCAACTCCATCATCCTTTCTTTTTCTGCTGTCCAAACTGTCATCTGCTCCATTTGGCTTGGAGTTTCTCCTCTGTTTCCTGACTTTGACCTCCACTCCCAGCCTGGGGAAATCATCCTGCAATCAAGGGACTGTTGTCATGTTCTGCATTACCCCCAGTTACATGGGCTTCCAGGCTGCCATCTGCTTCACAGTGGCTTTCCTAGCCAGGGGTCTTCAACAAAGCCAAGCTGGTCACCTTCAGCATGCTGGTCTTCTGCAGTGTCTGGGTGACTTTTGTGCCCACCTATCTGAGCACCAAAGAGAAATACATGGTGGCTGTTCAGGTCTTCTCCATTTTGGCTTCCAGTGCTGGTCTGCTGGTCTGCATATTTATCCCCAAATGATACATTGTCATTTTGAGGCCAAATATGAATACAAAGGAGAAGAAATTACAACCAGAAGAAATGTAGAAATGTGAGACAGAGGAATTTCAGTTCTCAAGCTGTTGTTCATACGTGACTGGGCCAAGAGTTTTGGTTGAAATAATTTAAGGGCAGCTGGAAGATAGTGTCCCCTATCCTTATTCAGTAGAATTGCAAGATGGCCACTGAGTTATTTTGAGCAGCCAAGGCATCATATCTATCATGTGCTCTTAGCCTAACCTGACCTGCAATGCCATACCCAGTTATTTCAAAACTGGCATTTTGTAATCTTGTGAATATGCCAGAAATAACTTAGGGAAGATAACTTGCCATGATTTTAGTCGTATCATAGTTTATATGTAATTGGGTTTCTTTGCAGAATTTGACTCAAATTGCAACACTCATCAGCATAAAAAAAAAATAGAGACACATCTGCCAGCAAAATTGGGACAAAGATAATTTGGAGTATCCAAATGCACAACTAAATTGTTGTATAAAAATGAACCAAGACAGGAACTAAAGTATAGTCTTATAAGATTTCTAGAAAATAATTCCCACAGATTGGAATGACTGAGTGTTCATGGATATGGTGTGAAGAAGGGAGATGATATTGGGCATAAACACTCAGTCAGAAGTTGTAATAATTCATTCATCTCCATCTTCTGCTTGTGGATACTCCAGAGGTACCTGGGTAATCATGAGGAGATGAAGATGGTCCCTGGCCTGATCCAAAAATCCTATCCTTATCTTCTTAAAAATAATATTTGCAAAGAAATCCTATTCACAAACAAGAGCATCATCCTGAAGTCACCACATTTGATAATGACACATCTGCAAGAAAACTATCAAAGTTCAGAGATCAAGGATCCCACTGTATTTTTCTTCTTGTCTATATCATGGCTGCATCTTCCTAGTATCCTTCCTAGTTTCTCAGCTGTGCTGTCCCGCTCCATACACACTCATATCTTCAAAAATTGCAGTCTTTATTGGTGCTTTGCCAACTCAAATAGTGTTCCCCAGGATCAACCCTCCACAGGAACCAATGAAATTCTTCCAAATGAGTCCAGCGCTCCTTCATGGAGCACAGCACAAGCCCATTAGGCTCTCCCCACCAAATTCCAGGTCCACCAGTAAGTCCACAGTCCAAACCCAAATCATCAAGCCAAAATCAAGGTGCAAGTTTTCCAAAAAGCCAAAAAGTCCAAAATAACAAGAGTCCTTCTAGTTTCACAGCTCTTTCTTAAAGAGCAGGTGGCAGTCATTGCTAAGAGGCCCTTTGAAGAGCTTTAATGTTGTGTCCCAGTGGCACCATTCCTAGATTGGGAGGCTTGACTCACAGTCAATCACACCATAGCCCCCTTTTTATATCTGTCTAATCATAAATTTTTTTTACAAGTGAACGTTTTTCATTTTTATGCAAAAATTCCATTGGGTGTTCCAATTATCAATGAAAGAACACATTGTCCTTGTTCTAACGAAAAAAGTTCATATGTCCCTCTGAGCAAGTTCTGTCATTTCACCAACCATTCCACTATGGTGGGGTAGTGCTGAATTTTTCCATCTCTGTGCCTATGGTAACCTCGCCATAATAATCATACATTAAAATAATATTCCATGGCAGGTTTTAACTGTTTACCCATCAATTCTAGAAGGAATGTTTTGGCTTCAATTGAATAGTTTTCTTTAAAAACCACTGTATCAATGTATCTATTTGAATCCAAGATTTTTAAAATCCTTTTTACACGTTCACCAAACATGTTCCTTCATGTTATCCACATTTCCCATTCTACAAAGCTTTCCAATAAAAAGCATATGATCTAATCTCTGGAAGTCTGTTTTAGTTGAGTTGATTTAAGAACCAACCTTAGGAATACCCCAAGCAATCTTCCCTTGTGTCTCCATCATCTCACCCACTTTCAAGATTCCTGAGACACCTACAGATTCAATTGCTGAATTGGAATTCAAAATTTAACATGTTTATGTATGTGTGAGAGTGAGGGAATGGGGAAGTGGAGAGTGGGGGAAGAGAAGGCAGGAATTTCCTAGGGTTGACAAAATCAACAAACTTTCCTTGAAACATCCACTTTTCCCATTGTTTTTTCTAGAGAATCAAAATGACATTACAACATTAATACTTCACTTAATCAGGATGTCCAGGAAAGGTAGTAAGTTATTGCTTTCTTCTCTAGTAAACTTCATTCCTTTGAACATATTGATGATTCTGTGAGTAATTCATTGATGATTCTGTGAGTAATTTGCTAATTGACCCTTTTTATTATGGTGAAGGTGTCACCTACAGATCTGATCTATATTTTGGATTATATTTATGGAAGTGCTATGAATTTTTAAACATTGCATAATGACCTCCACTATAAGTCCTGAAAGCAGTGATCCCATAGAAGTGCCTTTAATTTGCTGGTAAGTTTATCTATCAAATTAGAAGCATGTGGTTAGGCAGAGGTTATATCCAGATCCATAATCTGGGCTGCTTCAATCTTCATGCATTTGGTTAAGTCAATGTGGAACAATGTGGTTAAGTGCTGTGGAACAATGTGGTCAGAAATTTTTTGGAACAATGTCATAATTCTGGATCTATGGGCATTGGACAATTAGAGTTGATGTTATTATTGTTTGTTCCTGAAGTCAAAAGTAGTTTAATATCCAGGAATATCAATACTGTGAGCCAAATTTTATGGATAAATTGCATTATCCCCCCTTCCCTAAAGCCAAGATTCCTCTGAGAAACTACTGAAGCAGGTTGTAAGGCAGCTTTGCAAATCTTTAACTTTTTATACTTGGTAGGATCTTGAAGTTGAATTTGTGCTTTTTAGCATTAAATGCTGACTCCAAGTTGTGCATGAAGTATGCATGTATGTCAAGTATATTCCTTCGCAGAAAGGGGAATTTGCCAACATAGAATAACTACTATGCTGAATGCTTATTCTAATTTTCATCCTGGGTAACATCTATGGAGATGCCAATCATCCATCATGTCCCAAAGATGCTTCTCATTCAAGAAGCTTCTTCAGTTCTTTGGGATATCCTAGGAGGTGACACTTCTTGCCTCCTTGACAAAGGCCCTGATTTCATCCAGGAGGGTGTATGAGAGGCTGATGCTTTGTGTAGCAAGTCCTTTCCCCCCAGTCTTCCCCTCACTTTTCAGAATAAATGAGATTTCTGTGGTATCTGCAATTGTTTTATTTTTATTTTTTCAAATAAAGACAATACAACATTCATGAAACCACAATGCAGTATCTCAATCATTCACTGAAAGAACAGGGATACAGAACCACCTCCACTGGTGAGTAAATAATACATATCCAAGCCATTCTGGCCTTAGCAAAATTCGAATCCCAGTCTGGATTTTTAGATGAGAATGACATCTAATCAGTTTGGATTAGAGAAGGGACTCCTATTGTTTTGACTAGAGGAACTACAGGGCTGCTCTAGCACTTTATTGTTGACCACTGGAAGGATCTCTAATATTTCTTAGCTAAATTTTAGCTTTAGGTCCCATTTATGCCTGTAAAAATGCCTATTCTGAAGAACATCACAATAAAATCAGTATTAAAAGGAACCAAGTCAATTGTAGGGAACTCTTTCAATGGATCTGTATATTCAGATGCTCTAAGAATCCCTTCCCCTGCCCATTTTAGAAGTTGTCTTTTTTTAAAAAAAATTGTTATACATAACAAGGATAATGATCTTTTACCAATACAGTCAATAGAAGGAGATTTTCACCATAGACTATTGAATGCTATTGGAATGGAAACCTTTTTCAGGTACCTCTTTATTACAGTTGATCTAAGTAAAGGTCAAACAATCAGAAGAAACATTTCAGGATGCAGGCCCTTTTAATATACCAGAGAATGCAAAAAGGAATCTGCAGTTGCCTTGGGGTGCATCTCATCTAGAAATGCTGACAATGGATAAAGAACTTATTTTCAAGACTTCTAGTGCAGAAAAAACAGATACAATCATCTTTACAGCTATTGTCCATTTATCAGCATCTATGATAGCCATTTAACCACTGCTAAGAAGTACAAAAATATAGTTGCGGTTCCATTCCAGAATGGTTAGATCACAAATTCCATTCAACCAAGCCATCTGGCTGGTAATTCTGAAAATGTCCAACTCATCATGAGGCCATGAAGTTGGAGACGGCTGGTATATAGTGTTGCTCAATTTAAATGTATCTCTTCTGTCATTTCCCTCTCTATATCTGTGCTAAAGACTCCAGAAATGAAATGGAAAACTAGTTTATACATTCATTTCTACCACATGATCATATTTTGCTTGAACACTCAAGACGCTCAGCCAAACATAAAAACTGTCCACTGAAAGTATTGTGTTGGTATTAAAATCAGGCAATGAGGATGAGTAATACCATATGTATTTATAATAGCTCACTCCTATATCACATGATGCTACAATCAGTTCTGAGCATGCACTCATGAACTAGTGGTCAAAAGCAATAGAAATTGCTAAGTCATTGTGTGAAACTTTGGTTTCCTTCCAGCTGTTTTCAGTATTTCAATTATATAAACAATTCTAAACAGGCTTAAAATTATTTATTTTACAGCTGGTTAAACAAGAAAGACAGGATACATTTTAAATAAGTTACTTGGCGTTCAGTCACTCAGAACTCTCTGATCTATACATGTCTCAACTGAGCTACTGATAATTTCACAAAGGATATGAACAATTGTCATTAATTTCAATATGGTGCTCTAAAAAAGCACACCCTACAAAAGGAAAATAACAAATGAACTATCCTACTGGCTATGTTTTATTTTCAATTTTTACTGATTTGTGAAATTAAGCCCTGGAATTTAAGTTTTACACTATCCATTCAACAGTGATGATACAAATTATCTCCACAAAGCAAGCAGGAAATTGCTCGTTGGGAAATTTATCCCTTCTTTTTCCACAGACTATCGAATGAGCTTTAAATGGCTAAATGTATGTATCAGTATGTTCATAAAACATTATGAGGTAAACCAGAGATCTCCACACTTGGCAACTTTAAGACTTGTGGACTTCAACTCCCAGAATTCTCCAGCCAGCTGGCTGGAGAATTCTGGGAGTTGAAGTCCACAAGTCTTAAAGTTGCCAAGTTTGGGGACCCCTGAGGTAAACTAACAATTCTGAGGGACTTATATTTGCAAAGGTGGTCTTGCCTGTCTCCCTCTTTTTTTAAAAAAATATGTAAATGTCCCCTATAAATATACTCTGTAAATGCTATGAATGTGGCTAAAAGGCCAACATTAAATTGTAGGCCCCTTGTAGCAACAGTTTATCCATAGCACCTACTTCTAAAGTGCTGTGCTTATCTAATGCCCATCATAATAAATAACAATAAAATGACAATAATAAATATAAATAATTTAAAAATGGGGCACGTCTCCCAAGATTGCATATAACGTTCAGAGATAAATAAAACAATGTCTTCTTTCAAATGTCTTTAAAAGGAAATCTGCCCAAGATGGTAGAAGATTGAGATGTATGAAGTAGCAAAGCAGATGCAGCCTTTCTCTTGAGTGTAAATGCAAAACCGTTTGGATGCAAAGCTCTGGAACACCAAGCTGATCACTGTACAAACATGCAGAGAACAGAAGGCCTCTGAGGCTGACATGCAATGGGATGAAATTTCAAACTGGTGTGTGTTGTGTATACAAGATATGAGAATTGTGCTATGTACAGTTTTTGGTCTGTGTGTATAGGTGCAGAGACTAGCTTTTAAGAGTAGATGGAGGCTATCACTGGTTCAAACAGATGAATGCACAGAGGTATCTCCAAAAATGGTAAACATTTTAGGAGAGAATCAAAATCCACCTTTTCTTCATATTTCTCATTCCCTTTCCTGTTGGATTTCTCTTCCTATCTGGAGACCAAGTCTTCCTTGCATCAATTCCTCCAGCCCTTTTCATAGGCTCTCCTGGTTTTTTTCAACTCACAGCCTCTTTTCTAGAGAAGGTCTGCATTTAATAGAGCTTCTGGGTACATGGAAGTATTGGCGGTCCCAGGCCAGGAAAAACCAAAGCTGTGCAATGGAAATGTTCTTAGCACCCTTCACTTGGATTTCAGCATCTCCAGTTTCACTCTGTGTCTCTGTTCCCCAACACAGTTCCAGGTGATAACAAGGGATCGGCTCAGGTGTGTGCAGGTTTGCCTGTTCTGTGGCTATTTGCTTGTTCAATCAGGTCTCTGTAATAAGCAGATTTCAGAAATCTGGGATAGGAGTCCTTTTCCATCAAGGTGTATGTTTTTGCTTGAGCTTCTTCAAAGCACATAGAAGTGGCCCCAGCAAGGTTTCTTCTGGTTGCCTCTCGAGTTTCATGGTCAAGATTTACCTAAAGGAGAAAAAATATGGTGAATATGCATCCTTGGTTGTAACTTGATGGATGAGAAACAACACATACATTGTAACACCATAACCAAGGTAGGAAATCTCTCAACAACAGTGAAAGACCTGCAAAGTAGATATCAAAAACTTCTGGAAATCAACTCTGAATAAGCAAATATGAATGAACACTGAAAATCATTTTGCAATAAATAAAAAGGTGGGATATTCTCAAATACATGGGAGAATTTTGGCAGCAGTTCATTCTCTGAGCTTGCTGTTTAGCTCCTGGATGTTTCATTACCAAACTAGGTAACATTTTCCATGGGACTTTGGGTGAAGTGTTTTGTTCAGTTTTTGTTCTATTTATATAGGTCCTACGTGGTGTTGTGGTCAGTTGGTCACATTACTGATTTGCATGATACGAAATTCAGTTGGTGACGAGGTAATCAGTTCTGTCAATGATTGGCGGCTTGGGTGGTCCGGTTTCTTATAGGTTCATATGCTGGTTCTAAATCAATGTGTTTGTTGATGGATCCATCCACGTTGACTTAGAACCCCACTGACTTATATGAACCTGTAAGAACCTGTAACAAACAACCAATCAGCGATGAAACCGGCCACCAGTTGAATTTTGCACCATGCAAACAACCAGTCATGTGACCAACTGATCACAACACCACATAGGCTCTATATAAACAGGAGAAAAACTGAGCAAAACACTTCACCTGAAGTCCACTGAAGATGTTACTTCGTCTGGTAATGAAATGTCAGGAGCAAAACAGCAAGCTCAGAGAATGAACCACCGCCAAAATCCACAACCTAAGCTACAAATATGGAAGAATCTAAACTGCTCCATTCACCTGTCCTCCTTTGGGCCTACGAGCCTTTCTCTTGCTATGCGCTATCAGCAAAAGTACTTATATTCATCTTCCCCCTTCCTGGGTATGGGAACTATAGCTAGATCAGGTGGTAAGCACCCAACTGGAAAAGCCAACTTAAGATAACCTTGAAATTTCATGCCCTTCCCATTGTAAAGGCATTGTTGCCAATGCAAAGATATATCTTGAAGCTGAATCTGCATGCTGTAGGTGGACCTGAAGCCAGATCAAAAGTTAAAGCAATCCTATTGTAACACAGGCTCTTTAGAAAACGGCATGACTCAGCAGAAAAATTAATACCTACTCCCAATAACCGAGCTTCCTCTTTCTTTTATGTACCTTTCGGAAGAACCCTCAGTTAGGGTCAGGCAAAAAAAATTTTTTTTAAAAAAAGTCTGCTTTGAGATTGATTTATCTTTGAACTTATAAAGTCATTTGACTCACCTCCCTGGGGGACTCATTCTGAACAAAGTCTTCAAAGATCCTGTTGGCTTTGGCTTCTAATTTTGCTTTGGAGGGGATTTTCTTATATTCTTCACAAGCTAGCCAGAACTCCAGATTTTCTTCACTAAATTCTGTTTTAAGAAACCCATGAAATGCTTCCGTGCCACCTGTAAAGAAGGAGATAGAATAACCAGTTTAGAAGTGATAGAGAGAGAAGGAAAAGAAAGACTATCATGAATAGATTTTTAAAATGCTGCATGTTTTGCAAATTATAATGTCAAGGACGATCCATCTTAAAGTTATATGGTTGATTTCTGGATGAAGAATAATCTATTAAACCCCATCGCAGTCTTATTTGTTTTGCCTTCTATTGTAGAAAATTTAAAAAAAATCTGGGTGGCAAAAATACAACAATAACCGGATCAGATTCCTCTCCCTGAGAATCTGGAGCGGTCTTACTGTTACTAATTTTTTTTAAAAATAAAGAGAAGGTCACGTTTAGCATAATAACTAATTTGATTCAAATGACAACCTGTTTGGTCTAGTGCAGGGGTGTCAAACTTGTGGCCCATGGGTTGGATGCATCACATGCTGGCCACGCTCACGCCCGGTTTAGCGATGGGGGGAAAAGTCATGATACGTCACACGACAACACCATGACAACGCAAGTTTAACATCCCTGGTCTAGTGGTTAAGGCCCCAGGCTCGAAAGTTGGAGACTCAGAGTTCTAGCTCCATTTTTGGCATGAAACCCAACTGGCTCTCTACGGGCCAGTTATTCTCTTTCAGCCCAACTTATCTCACAGAGTTTGTTGTTGTGGGGAAAATAGGAGGAGGAAGGTGTGTGGGATATGTTTACCCTCTTCAGTTATTTGTAAACAGATTAAATATTAGTATTCTCAGCCAGTTCAAACTTTTTGTTATTTGGGTTGAGAAGTCTATGAGCTATCCCAACACTAGGTTAGGGTTGATTGTTCATTCAGTAATTTTATAAAGTATCTGCTTTTTTGCTATCTAAGAAGATCCTCTGGTACATTTTGTGAAGACATGACTGGTTGGCAACCTTACTGAATCATGTGAAATCACACAATCGCCAGCTACTTGCAACTATACTTTTTTTTTGTTTTTTACATTTTTTTTTACCACACATGATGTGTACTCACTTCTGCTTCTCAGCAGTTGATCAAAGGACTCCTTCCATCCAAGCGCTTCCTCCAAAGTATATCTGGAGAAGAAATAATATTTTTAGAGCTTGTCCGACAGATTTCAAAGAGTAATGTTTTGAGCAAAGAGTTCAGGATGCAAAGCTTCTGGAAAATGTAGAGGTCATCCTATTTATCCTGGCTTCATTTCTCATAATCCCCATTCAAAATTGCTCACTACCACATATCACCTAACATATGTTATGTCATTAACACCATTTAAACCACTTCAGCAAGTTCTTCAAAATTTCTTATCCTTCTTAGCCAATGAAGGTGTAGAGATATTATTCTGGAGGCAATATTCTGAAATAAGCAAGAAATACTATCTGGAAATTGAGTAGCTGGGATATCCTGGATGAAGATTTATTGAAAAACCACTCTGTTTTTTTATATAATGTTATTATATAATAGGATCTTTCATTTTTAGGTCCCCATTTCTTCCATCATTTTCTTTTCAGAAAAAAGAACAGTGTTATAAGACTTGCACAAGGCTTTTTAATATAAGTGCTTCTGTCTAGACGCTGTCTCTCTTCAAAAACATCTCAGCCATTTGGTTGACTTAGAACGGCTCTTTTCAAAAATGGACGATGCAGCATAACAAACTGCTGTATCATACAAAATTTTTACTAACACAGCTAAAATGCATTATCTAGGATCCTTCCTCTCTTTGGCGTCAGTTAGAAACTGAAATAACCCTAACATTTTATTGTCCTTAAAAATCCTTGTGTTTTTGTCAGGCAGTTATAGACTTACTTTTGTTTGGTGCTCCAGCTGAGGTTTCCAATTTTATGTCCAAATTCTGGTTTATGAAGTAGAATTCTCAAACGTGTTTTAAACTCTTTGGCTCTGAAAAAGAGAAAAGAACATAATTCAAAAAGGATACTAAAAAAAACAAAGTACTGCAGTTGCTAGATTAGAGGATATCAAGACAAGATAAGGATGTTCCTTCAAACTTAAGGTCTAGAAGAAGCTTCTTGGTTCTGGCAATTTAAGATAAGAGTTTGCAGTGTGAGTTTGAGAGCTGAAGCATTTCTTTAGTATAAAGAAAGTATACTTGGCTTTTCTGCTAAGCTTTCTTTTTCTCCATTAGTAAATGCCTTTTTTTAATCCTTTATCAACCAATCTTTAACTTGGCTATTCATATATTAACAGGCTATTCCTGCTGGCAACAAGGATAAATTGAAAAATGGTTTTTAAGCAACAGAATACCATAATCAGTTTTCCTAAACTCACAGCATTTACTGCCTCAACCAGACTTAAAAACTGAAAAGGAATTTTTTTCAAGCGGTTCTTGTATATATGCCTACTCTGCAATTGTAAAGTTAATTTGTAATTTAATTCCTTAAAGTTAAATACTCTGTATTATGTTCCTTTAATTCTGCCCCTTATTACTGAATTCATCAGGCATCTCCACCGGGTTGAATCAGCTTTTTATTCCCCTCTCCCCACTTTCACTAGATACCCATTACTTAATTCTGTGGACCAGATCTTCCTCAACCTTTCATCCAAGGCCATCAGTTCTAGGCTACAAACTGCAGGCCTCCACTAGGTGGCAGCAAAGAGATACAAAGAACACCAACTCTGTGCTCTTAATGTCATCTGGAGATTTGTACCCTCAGATCTAATAGTACTAGTAAGTGCTAGTAAGTGCCTCAACCTCTGAAATAAAGTGATATAACATGTCATGACTCCAGCCTACCAGGGCATTAATTCTGTCATGGTCTAAGTTACCTTACAAGAATTCAATATTTTAAATACCTAATTTCTTAAAAGCTGCTTACAGTGGTATGGCATGTTTATTCCAATAATAATATAAATTATAAATATATATTATATTTTCTGCTTTGTAAAATGACACAAGCATGTCAGTTCTGCAAAATTCTTAGGCTATTAATTATCATCATTAATAGGTACCAAAAACCAAGCAATTATTACATGAGGTCAAAATTTCATCTGCTGTAGAAAACAGCTGAACATATAGTTTCTGTACACCTACAGACATAATTCTGTGATGCCCTTTTATCTTCCTTTATTGTTTATTCTTTAAATCTTTTTACATTTTTGTTGCAACTTTTGCTCTTTTCTGTTTATTAAAGCAATATTTAAACAAATTAAATGCTATTGTTTCTAGTATTTATCCAGCATGTTTTTAAAATGCATTGTCATAATTCCAAAGATCATAGAAAAGATGCTCTTTAGCCAACAATGAATCTAGCTTATTCTTACTATTCAAACTGATATGTGTATTTCTGAATTGTTAACTTTGATAGCACTTAGGATTAATCAGCACCACCCTGTTCACCAACATGTAATTATATTTTTTTGCTGAACTCCTGAAAAAATAAACTGTCACATAATACTGAGAAAAATTACAAATATTGCTAGGAACAGAACAAATGTAAGTCAGACCAAAATAATAATTTCTAGTTTCAAATTATTACAATTGCAGGCTCACTGCTCTCTAGCTAATGTCACTTATTTTTAATGACTTTTTATGAAATTCCAGCTTTTGATGGGTATGACTTCTTTAGTCAACTGGTACAGCCATAGGAGTTTTCAATCTATTTGGACCAGTGGGCTCATTTGGGAATTTTAAAGTCACGTAGCTTTTATTTTTACAAAAGATTGTCATGATAGTTCAGCTAATCCACATATATAAGAAGTTAAACCCTATAAGGCGCCGGGACTGCAACCACCTAGTATTTTCTAAGAATGGAATTGTTCTCGGAAATACAGATTGCACTTGCTTTGGTAGTTTGCCACTTTAAAAAAAATTACTATAACCTTTTATTTAAAAATAATTTGTTGCAGGTAGCTTAGTGGGGGTCGACTCTTGCTCCTGAGCACCATGCTGGGGTCCAAGACCTGTGCCAGGTAGGCTTCAAGTGCAGAAGGTCATCAAAGAAGGTGATGATGGGTTGCTTTCTCACTTTGGATCATCTGTACCCCTTTTGATTTTTCTCTTTGCTTGGACTTGACTGTGAACCCACTAATAGGCCCTGGGCGTCCTTCATGTCTCTGTAGCTGCTGAATCCGAGACAATCAGGAATGTGGAAAATCAATGGAATTTTCCCAGAGATTTAAAAGATGGGATGACGCTGCACTTGCCTCGGACTGCGTCTACTTGTTAAATGCACTATGTCCTCCCAAGGGTCACTAGAGCCCTTATCAAGTCATTAGGGCGTGATGTGGCTGGGGGCCAGGGGCAAAGGAGAGGAGAAATGCTAGGAATATATATAACACCTCAAGGCTATCGCTAGAATGTTATCTTGCCTTTTTCAAACACAATAGATGGCCTGCACATCAAAGCAAATGTTCAGATGCGGCTATCAAGCTCTCTTCACTGTCCTTTTCTGATACCTCTTCACCTGTCCCCCCAAAAACACCCCACACTGTATGCTCCTCAAAGCAGACCCTCAGCTTTTTTGCTGTGGCTATATTGTTTTACTAGGGCACAAATAAAGTGCCAGTATCATAATTATTATAATTGTTTCTCATCCATGCCTCTACACTACCTCTCCCTAATTGCTATTCCTCTTCGGTGATTAACTGGATGCTTTCCTTTGCCACTATTCAAAGCATCCCATAGCTGGTAGAGTTTTCAGACTTTGAATGTTGTGTCACACACCTGCCTAACCAGGGTGGGTGCTGCAGCCATTCAGAGGTCTCTCCCTGCTTGGTGCAATCACTGCGACAGTTTGGAGATGGCCGCCTGGCGCATCGCTTTCTATTCTTAGCTCACCAACCTCTGGCTGGTGTGTGGCAGGCATGCTAATGATGTGCAGTGCTACTTGCAGAGGTGTCTTTGAGAACTGCATTGCAAAGACACAGGAGAATTTGTACTCGTTTTCCCATCACATTTAAAAACACACAAACAAGCCAAATGTATGAAGCAGAGAGTCAGCTGCAGTTCTCGAGAAAAGCAAGAAAAACGTATTTCTTTTAATCTCTTATTATCATTACCTCCTTTATCTTTCCTCAGTGCTGAACTAAATAATGTCAGTCCAGTCATTACATGAAATGGTACAATCAGGGTTTGGGATATAGACTGAGGTCATTCCTGGTCACTACATGTGGCCAAGTCAAGTCCAGCCCTGACTGTTCAGCAAAGTAATAATATAATAAGAGCTTCAATAATTTTCCAAGCCTCTTACCTTTCCAAGCAGCTAGCAGGCAGCGCAGCTAAACCTCGGCACATGTTGAGAAAGTAGTTGGGTGGCTTGCTTAGATCTGCAGCAACTGGGTTGGGGAGCAGTGGAGGGCTCTAATCACAGCCTTCTATTAAGCTTTCAGTGCTGGAGCTTGGAAGCAGAGCTTTTATATCTTTCAGCAAGTGGGAGGGAGCATGAATCAAGCACACAGTTCCCGCCCGCCTCTATACAAGAATAATTGGAACTGTCCTTGAACAGCAGAGTCATAAGTGGGATTCAGAAAGAACAAGCCGGACAAAATATGGGTGTTTCTGTTGTAGCTACCTTTGTATTCCATGATTGAAGGGTACTTATACAGAAACTGCAGTCAAGAGCTCAAGGGATATATTTTTCTTCTCTGAAAAGCACTTGGCTGCTGTGCTTATCATCAAATAAAATACACACTTTAATAGCAAGTGCTTTTGCTGTTCTTGTTCCTTTAAAAAATGTGATGACAGAGTCTATGCATAATTTAAATAAATCAGCCTAATTTGCCAGGACACGGCGCTGGCACCAATATAAGTGTTTTTTCCTGGTGCAAGGAACTGGTCTAAGTGGGACAGCGGAGTGAGAGATAGCGTTAACTTGGGATCACAGTAGGGCACGGCCAAGCAAATTGGGACTACAGTAGAGCAAGGATGAGGACACTTTGGCCCCAAGTTAAAAGCTCTTGGAAATAACTGGGTAAACTAAGATATATATTTCTATGTGGCTTTGGCAGAACACTTATTAGCTTCCAGTTTGGAGGAAATTGTGAACTCAATGAAAGACAGAGCAGTGTTGAGTACAGTTGAGGGTCTTCTGTGAAGTTCCTTCTCTAATATATAGTTGGGAAATGTAGTGAAATGAAAGGGAAAGTGCTGCAGCAAGCACCCCCAAAAGTTAAGGGTCCATTATTTTGGGGTGAGGGTGGGCAACCGATTTGTCATTTTCTACATTCCATTCCCACTGATCCTTGAAGGCTCCACTTATTCATTTATTTACAATATTTGTAGACTGTCCCAATCAAAAAGATTCTGAGCACTGGATCCTCAATTTTCTTCCAAGGTTCTACTTTTCATCTTCCTCCTCTCATAACACAGCACAATTATTTGGACTTTTTTAAATATATATGTTTACTTAACCTCCTTCATACCTTTTTACTGCCTGCCTCCTCAAAAGCTGAAGCACTTTTGGGAGACACCTCAGTGCTCTGAAATCTTCCTTAGCTGCAGAATGGAATAACAGCTGCAGAGCAGGGAAATAAGGATTAGCAGGAGATATCAGCCCACCTGCAGCCTCCATCAAATTCTGGCATTTCAAACAGCAATCAAGTCAGAAGAAAAGCCAAGGAAGGCAGCTCTGAGCAATGGGTCTGACAAACATCTAGGGTGCTCCTTTGGAAAAGAACTTATGGGAGTGGTACTTATGGGCCTGTTGCTGTCTAAATTGATACCAACTTATAAATGCATTCAAAAAAGGTTTTATTATTATTTCTTTTACCATTTTTACTGCAGGCAATATTCATAAGGTACTGTAATGTACAAATTAAGAATTTGAGGTTTTTTTAAAAAAATGTATGTGTTGATTTCTGTTTTTAATCCTTCATTTTGGGCTACTACTACTTAGCTAAAAGCTGAATCCTGGCAATCGAAGAGATAATCCTGTAGGTAAAATAATCAGCCTTCCACCAGTATTTCTAGAAAAGAAGGCTTACGTAATTGAATGATCCTCTCTCTCTCTCCTTCCCTAATTTGTAATCATCACTCCACCAAAACACACTGCCCCAATACACAGAAAGCAGCCATCAGGCAGAAGAGGAGTGAATTTTAACCAGGTTTTCTCATTGACAAAGTATTTTTCTAGGCAGAGAACCAGCCTGAAGTATGAGAGAGAACAAGGACATGTTTCATCTTAAAGCTCAAGGCAACAAAACATTTTTACTTCCAAAGCAGCATTCATTGGGCTGAAATTGCCCTTCCCCGTTAAAAATAAAACTGCTCTAGTAGCAGGACAGCTCACAACAGCAAAACCCTAGTGGTAATGATGTATAGACTGTTGGCAGCATGATGCCCAAGTGGCATTGATATATCATTGTCTGGAAGAGCGGCCCCAACCTTTTGTGCACCAGGGACCAGTTCCGTGGATAAAGGTTTTTCTGGGGACGGGAGCGGGTGTGGTTTTGTGTGCTGCCTGCACCCTGCGAATGAGGCTTTGCTTGTTACTGGCACATCACGGTCTGGTGCCGGTCCATGGATTGGGGGCCAGGGACCCCTGGTCTGGAAGATCCCTCAATCCCCAACTTTATGGCTCTTAGCCAAAATGGTAGGGGAAATTGTATTTACGGTAGCTTTAAAAGCCGTGAGAGGTTCATTCATGATCTCTCCCTCCCCATCTTCTCTGCATGTGGGGAAAGAAAATACAGAAAGGAGAGGGCAAAGGCGCTGCTTTGATTAGCCTACTATAAACATTTAACTAAAAGACACCGGAAGAGGAATTTAAACAAGAGAAAAACAAAGGCAGGAGAGAGAAATGCATTTTTTAAAAATCTCGTAGGCAGAGAAAAGGATGATGTTTCACAACATATTCCAAACCTCATTTAACAATCCAGGTGCAGAATATATGGCACAGCTCTATCAACGTGCACAAGGACAATCAAAAGCTTAGCCCACCTAGAGTGGGCTGCTTATTAAGAGGACAGAAGAGTAAGAAGGGTTGTACAGCACAGATACTCCCAAAGGTTTTGCAACTCCACGTGATACCCAAATTTAATTCATTTGTGCCACAGAGCAAGCCTCCTGAGACCCCAGTTATGAGGTCACAGAGGTCTTGAGGAATGTGCCAATTTACTTATGCTGGAAAGAGAAGGAGAGAGAGAACAGTGTGGAATTTTCAAGCTTCTTGCTTTGCCTCAAAGCTGTGCTCTTTTTCTACCACTCAGGTCCTGACCTTCCCAAGCTACTGTTCATCCCTGCTGCCAAATCTTGTGCTTACTTCAGTGAAGACAGGACCCCCATTTCCAAGGCAGTTCATCTGCAGGGATGATTCACTACTTTTCTACTTGTTGCTAAGCTTAATTATATCAGTGTTATATAGACTATTCAGATGTATTCTTCACCTCCAATGTATTTGCATTGGAACCCTTATTAGTATGAGAAGAGTAACAGAATCAATTATATTGTAGTTAATAGGCAATCTGAGGCTATAAGGCTATTTTAATTTCTTCTCCTTAACGTGCAGCATATTTTCATAAGGTCGATGATACTGCACCTATAGTGGTTCAATTCATTTTACTTTTCACTTTCATTATCAAAATCTACTATCTTGTGCTTTCTACATCTGAATGGTTCTACAATTCCATAACATACTGTGGCTGGATAGCCATATCCCCGTAAGCCACAATGTGGTTTGTGCTTGGCTTCAAAAATATACAGCTTCAATTATCTCCTTCCAGATATACAACTTCCAGCATTAATTCAACAGGAAAACAATGGAAATCTTAGAACAAGGCAGGTTGAAAAAAGCAAGAACAAAATTAAAAGCAAGCAAGCCACAATTGACTTAATTCCTATGTATAAATGTATGTAAACAAAGACCCAATAACAATATATCAACTCAACATGGAGTACCATTCCCACCTCACACAGTACTAAATCAAAAACCTAGATAAACTAGAGACATTTCTCATAAATCTAACAATCAAAAGCCAGCAACCCAACCTAACACCCTCCACAAGCCATTCTATTATACAGCAAAATGTTAGTACTCAGATGAGGCAGAATCACCACCTTATCAATAGGTAAATAGCCTACTAACATCAACTTGCAAAACAATATTCACCTACAGGACTATCCCACCCAAGGCAGGATATGTGGATATTGTATATAATTGTATATAATTCTTTGCAACCAATGAACTTGTCTTCTCTTTTTTTAAACTCACATATGGAAAATTTAGTGGGGGGATGAAATGTCTGCAACTCAAAATCAAAGCTGCTGAGTGTTTCACAGAGTGAATGAAGCACCAATATAGATGTTCACAGTGTTGAAAGGCTAGCGAATGCATATGGCCAGATTGGAAATAAGTACCACACACTATAGTATTAAAATCGAAGGAAAATATTAAACTTGCAATGGAATTTCTAAGAGAAGATGAAGATGAGGACATTATTTGATAGGATTAAATTTTAATATGCTGTTGCTTCTGGTAGCTTGTAATGAAATCTTTTTTATTAACTTTGAATGATGCGACTTTAATCAGTTTATAGATATAAACCATGAGGAAAGAGATTTTTTTTTTGTATTTTTATGAAATACAAATGATAACTTACAGTGTAAAGTAAATAGAAGGAATATGAAATTGATTTGTTGTTTAAGGCCCACCTACCCACCCCAAGTCCTTCCCGACATCCCGACTGAAGGCAGATTACAGGCAGGAGACTGGCGGGAAAAGAAGGGGAAGGGAAGCGGGGGGGCTGCCCGGGTGTTCGAACGCGGCGCTTTGCATACAGCACTGCGGAAGGGGCGCGCGCGGGGAGGGGAGGTGACGGACACGTGTGTGTGCGGCGTGCGCGTTTTCAAGTCTCCTTCGCAACCCGTGTCCGTCCTTTTGCGGAGGTGGGATTGCACTTTGACTCAGCCGATCGTTGCTTGCACGACAAATCGGAGCCCCCAAAGGGCGACGAGCACGGCCCTCGTGGCAGAGGTGTGTACACGTGTGGGGCCATGTGGGAAAAGCGAGTCCTATTTTTTTTTTTTTTTGTTTGGGCTTGTAGTCGGCGGAGGAGGAGAGAGCCGGTTCCCTCTTTGGGGAAGGTGTGGAGGGTCGGGGGTCCGTTTGCCACGAGAAGTCGCATTTCCACATGGCCTCTTCTTTCGAAACAATAAGCAAGCGGTCAGGCGGCAAGACAAGGGAAAGCCAAAAAAAAAAAAAAACCATGCACATAAGCCACAAAATCGGCTGGGTTTGACAGTGTCAATTAACAGTAACAAACGGTACATTGGCCCATGGACGTGTGAGCTGCAAAGGCTAGGATTTTCCACGTTTCTAAATCTCCCCTTGCTAAAACACAGAGCTACACTTTCCTCCTATCAGAACCCAAAACCAAGGATGGGGCGGG